GCAACTATTGATTTTGCATGGCAATGCCCTAGGATTCCCTTCAGAGCTTTTAACCTTTCCTCGACTGAGAGTCCTACAAAAAGGTGTAGTATTTTTGTCAAATATATCTTAAACTATAAATAAACTAATAATAAAATATTACCTAGCAACTGTGAATAACTAATAGCTTGGCTAACAGCCAAGGAATGACTGCTTTATTTAGGTAAACATTTTCTTTATATCAATTTTAGTGACTCTGGTTCTAAACCACCTCTTCCATCATTCCCTAAGAAGGTCATATTTGAACATGAGTGTGTGAATATACAAAAGCACAGGGAGATGCTGGTGCATGGTGGCTCATGCCTGTAATCCCAGCACTTTGGGAGGCTGAGGCAAGCAGATCACCTAAGGTCAGGAGTTTGACGCTAGCCTGGCAAACATGGTGAAACCCTGTCTCTACCAAAAATACAAAACTTAGCTCAGCATGGTGGTGGGCACTGTAATACCAGCTACTCGGGAGGCTGAGGCAGGAGAATCACTCGAACCCAGGAGGCGGAGGTTGCAGTGAGCTGAGATCGTGCCACTGCAGTCCAGCCTGGGTGACAGAGCATAGCTCCACCAAAACAAAACAAAACAAAAAAACCCAGGGAGTGATATCTCCAGTGACAGTTTTAGTGTCTATAGTTGCGGGTTGAGCTGGATGGATTTAGAAGTCTTACAGCAGCAAGGTTCGAGATCTTTCTCAAGCCAGCACTTCCCTAAGCCAAGCTTCCAAAAGAATCAGTTCAGCACTTAGTCAATTCTTCTCTTGCTTTTGACTTTTAAAGTGGCCTGGATTTAGTGCAGCCTGCTGCCAATGAATGATACAATGTTGAGATCACACAATCCCAGGTTTGACAGTGCCTGGTTCCCTAACCTTGGCCACATCACGTAACTTCTATGTCCAAGTAGTTGTACGTAAAACAAAAGATGTTAACATTGACCTGAAGAGTCAGGGAAGAATATTTTACTGATAATTTGAAAGCACTTCAATGGGCTATAAAAATCTCTCGTCTATAAGCCCAGCACTTTGGGAGGCCGAGGTGGGTGGATCACGAGGTCAAGAGATCGAGACCATCCTGGTCAACAAGGTGAAACCCCGTCTCTACTAAAAATACAAAAATTAGCTGGGCATGGTGGCGTGTGCCTGTAGTCCCAGCTACTCGGGAGCCTGAGGCAGGAGAATTGCTTGAACCCAGGAGGCAGAGGTTGTGGTGAGCTGAGATCACGCCGTTGCACTCCAGCCTGGGTAACAAGAGCGAAACTGCATCTCAAAAAAAAAGAAATCTCCTTCAATAATATATAGATAGCCTAAATGAAGCCTGCTAGCCAGCTGCCATAGTGGAAATGAGCTGCATAGGTACCATTTTGGCATTCAGTTAAATTTAAGACGATGGAGAATATCGTTTCTCCACCAGGGAACTTTTGCCAAGGGACAAATACATCTACATAAGTGGACACTTGCAAACTTGCCTTTTGCTCACTTCCCTCTGGGTGTACTGTAAGGATGTGATGTATGATTCAAAGCTGTCTTTGTAAAGTGTCAACAGTCCGAGCTCTCCTAATTGCCTTTGGCCTTTATGTGGCCAAGGAGGCAGAAAGAAATGCTCGTGTTATGAAGCATGCTGGAGCAGAAAACGCTAACGGGGTTGGAGTGTGTCAGGCTCTGTCTAGAAACTGTAGCAGAGTATGTGAGAGCAGAGACGCACAGGCAAGTGGATACTCCCAGCCACTCATCGTCATGTTTCGGAAAATGTAAGTGTGCTGCTGTTATATGAAGCATGTCCAGACCCAAAGGGGCCAATTGAAGTCAACACTTGAAAGAAGGTGATACTTGCTATTGTAATGGGCATTGTTTTTTTGGCTGCTTGGTATCTGTACCTCTTTCCCATGTTTGGGGAATTCTCCCATCTTCTGAGTTCTGGTGGGAAGCAGTCAGTCTTCCACTCCCGAAGATGAAAATGCAAGATGCTTGCTTTCCCAAGTCACAGGACTGAGGTTCTGCAAGAGGCATCCACCCTGACTTTAAAAAGTGATGGAAAAAAGGACCAGAAATAACTCACTGGCAATGGCAGAGGATTCAGAAGCTGAACTTCTCCGGCAGCAGAGAGAGCGTGAGTGGGGTAACCTCCACATCCACAATGCACAGCATCCGTGGTCCAAGCTCAGGTCTTGTCCTGGTAGTTGCTACTGAGGTGTTCTTTCTGCAGCAGTATTGCAGTGGAATTTTGAGCATTGCTCCTGGCAGGTGGTCCTAGACCCGGTCTCAGTGACTCTGTGAGATACCTAGCCTCCTTTTGTTGTTGTTGTTTATTTATTTATTTATTTTGAAACAAGGTCTCACTTGGTTACCCAGACTGGAGTACAGTGGCACGACCAAGGCTCACTGCAGCCTCAACATTCCAGCTCAAGTAATCCTCCCACCTCAGCCTCCCACGTGGCTGGGACTACAGGATTTTGGCATAGGCATAAATTTGCATACCATTATGACGAGGATACAGAGTTTTAATCACCCCAAAGGATTCCCTTCTGCTCTCTGTAGTCACACCCTTCCCTACGCCTAATCTCTGGCAACTGCTGATTTGTTCTTCATCCCCACAGTTTACCTTTTCTAGAAGGTTATAGAAATGGAAATATATCGTAGGTAACCTTTCATGTCTGCATAGTGTCTTTGAGATTCATCCAAATTGTTGCATCTAGTCCACTGCTTTTTATTGAAGTACCACTGTTTGCTCATCCATTCGCCTATTGATGAACATTTGGGTTGTTTCCATTTTGGGGAGATTATGATTATGAGATTAGAGTTGCTATCTAGAATCTTTTTTTTTTTTTTTTTTTTTTTTAAGCAAGACTGGGTCTCACTCTGTCACTCAGGCTTGAGTAGAGTGATATGATCATAGCTCACTGCAGCCTCAAACTCCTAGGCTCAAGCCATCCCTCTGCCTCAGCCTCCTGAATGGCTGGGACTACAGGCCCACATCCGGCTAATTTTTAAATTGTTTTCTAGAGACAGAGTCTCGTTATATTGCCCAGGTTGATCTTGAACTTCTGGCCTCAAGGAATTCTCTTTGGCTTCCCAAAATGTTGGGTTACAGGTGTGAACCACTACACCTGGCCCTATTACTTTTTTAATGAATTAATTTTTTAATAATTCTAACAGCCATAGTTGGTTTCTGTTGCTTGAAATTAAGAATCAAATGGCTATTCCTCTATAACAGGAACATCCCCAGATCTCACTGGCCAGGTATAAATAAGGTCATTACCACTTACTTAGTTTATTAGTCAAATACCCCACACCTACGTAACTACAGTATCCCAGGTGTTGTTTTGCTTTAAGTGTTGTTAAGTGGCATCCTGAAGCCCTTTCATGCCAGTGCCCATGTCAGCAGGATGACTCGCCCCCATCCACTGCACAGCAGTCTCCTTGGACCATTGCCCACAGATCATTTTTGCTATGTGATAGGCAATGATGTGTGAATCCTGCTCTTCTTGGTTTATATTTTTCACGGCCCTAAGAGAGATCCTTAGACCCCAGGAATCACAGAATTTACTGAGCCAAATGCTTTACTTTTACATAAGCTCTTTCCTCTTTAGAGCTCAGATGGTGTCAAGGGGACTGGCTTGAGCAGGCTTCGGTCATGGCTGCTATGCTCTATCTACTTAGACTTCCTGCTCAGCTCCAGACTTTAGACCTGTTATTGAGACGAGCTCAACACATCTTCCTGTTTCTTCCCTGAGGATGAATCCACTTCCAGGTCCCTGTAGTCCGTGCTCTGTCTTCTAGAGAGCCCCCTTCCCCATTCCCCTGCCAGTTCACCAGATATGCCTTTCTTGGTTGTACCCTGTACCACATATATCCATCATGGGGAGGATGAGCAAGATCAAAGGGCTGTGGACCTGGGTAAGACTGGGACATATAGAAAGTCCCAAGAGTTTCCACCGCTTTTTTCTCATCTTATGTCTAATTCTCCTCCTCTGCTTCCAAAAAAAAAAAAAAAAATCAGGTGAATGCCCACTTGAACTTCCACTGAAAAGTAAACAAGGGCAGTAACTCTCAAACTGTCAAGTGCATAGAGTCACCTTGGTATCTGAAAATGCAGATTCTGATGGAGCGTTCCAGAGTAGGGCTTTATATTCGGCATTTCTAAAAAACTTCCAGGTGTTGCTGATGCTGGTGGCTTCAGAATCACACCTGTGTGACATGATGGAAATTTCAGAATCTGGTTAATATTCATTTTATGCCTTTCCAAGAGGGTTGATATATGGTTTCTTTTTCAAGGTGGGGGATTGATAGTTGCTAATAACTACTAAGATATTCTTTCAAAGTGAAATGTATAAAGTAATTTCATAATGTAGTCCTGGAAAGCAGTAAATGAACAGCAACTGCCTATTGGGTGGTACTGTATGCTAGGCACTATGGTGAATACTCTTCATACCTTATTGCATTTAATCCTCACAATAATGCATTGAGAATGAGCATTATTAGCCCCATCTGAAAGGTGAAAAATCTGAGATTCAAGATGCTAAGACAGAATTGGTGAAGACGGGATTCTTTTTTTTTTTTTTTTTTTTTTTAAGACAGAGCTTCGCTCTTATTGCCCAGGCTGAGTCATTCTTGGTGTCGACCATCCCTAGGTGTTTACTTCCATATTTATATTTGCACCAGAAGCTTAAAGAGGACAGTTCACCCCTGAGAGACAGCCGTGATAACCAGTAAAGTGAGAGATCCCAAGAGGATGTAAAACTTAGGATGGAGGGAGATTCTCTTTCCAGAGTTAAAGCTTGACATGTCTGAATTGCACTGAAGGAAATAGGCAAAATTATTTTCTGGTGTATGTGCTTCTAAACCCTTCCATCATCTACCCACATGTCCCAGGAAAACCTCTGTAAATAGGATGAGTTATCAATAAACTCTATCTTGCTTACTGATTTTTTGTTTCGTGCTGCTGTAGACAGACTCATAAGCAGAAAGAAAAAGTCATTTGCTTCTGAAATTTTTTTTTTCACACAAAAGTTTTTAGTTTATTAATAAGCTTCTCGTGAAAAATCCACAACGGCCATAGATAACATCATTGCGGCACCTTTTACTCCTTCAGCTGTGTTCCAATCTCCAGCTCACTTTTTGCCAGCACCAACATTGGCCTTTGCAGTTCCCCTGACTCTCTGCATTCTGTTCTTGCGTTCCTTTCGTTGCTTTCTTGAGGTCTTCTTCTCATACAGGCCATGTCTTGCAAGTCTATGTTTGGGTTCATTTTTCTTTGCATAATCCAGGGAATCATAAATCATGCCAAAGCCAGTTGTCTTGCCACCACCAAAATGAGTTCTGAATCCAAATACAAAGATGACATCCGGTGTGGTCTTGTACATTTTGGCTAGTTTTTCCCGAATTTCTGTCTTAGGCGCTGTTGCCTTCCCGGGGTGAAGGACATCAATGACCATTTGTTTCCTCTGAAGTAGTAGGTTGGTCATGAACTTTCTAGTGCAGATAGTTACTGTGTCGTTCACGATGGCGGCCTATCCTTAGACAGCCGAGGAGGAAAAGCGACTTGCCTCTGAAATTTTAGTGACAATAGCCAGGCCATTGTCCTCTGAGTTTGAGGCTGCTTTTCCTGTGAGGTTGTTCATTCATTTATTTAATATGTATTTACTAATTCAGCATCTACTGTAAGGGACCCTGAGGTGCTGGGAATACCAAGGGAAGCAAAACAAAACAAAAAGCCACCTTCACAGCCTGGTGGCAGAAACTTTAATCAATACACAGAAATATATTTAAAATCTCAACTGGGTTAAGTGCCAGGGTGTTATAGGAGCTTATATTAGAGACAAGGGCCCTCATCTAGTTGGGAGGGAGAAGGGTTTAAAAAGGTTTTCCCTCGGGAGGCTAAGGCAGGAGAATCGCTTGAACCTGGGAGGTGGAGGTTGAAGTGAGCTGAGATTGCACCATTGCACTCCAACCTAGGCAACAAGTGTGAAACTCTGTCTCTAAAAAAAAAAAAAAAAATTGTCCCCAGAAGGGACAATTGAATTGAGACTGGAAGGATGAGGGGAGTTACTGTGGAGGGAATAGGAAAAGGTCATTCTAGGGAAAGGGAACAGCCGTTGTTTTAGAAGGGCAAGGCCATCAAGAAATTAAGCTTGAGTTGCCTGAAAGATGGAAAGGATAGTGGCTGATGTTTCAAGATGAGGAAGTGGCCCAACACTGGTCAGAGAGAGTTGGCTTTTCCAAGCCTGGGAGAAGGATGAGTTCCAGGGCTGGTATGTGGATGGCAGGTGCCTGGATCTCGATGGAATACAATGCCCCAGAAGTGGCAGAACCTGTGAGTGGTGAAGGCTACATATTGGGCCTGTGGACCATGAAAGTCTGCAATAATGGGCACTGTCTCCCTCTTCTTCCAATTGAAAGGATTAACACACAATGGTCAATATGAAAGCACAAAAGAAATGGAATACACTTTAATGAGAAGTGGTAGGTGTAGTGGCTTGGAACCTTGACTTTGGAGCAAAAGCATGTAGATTCAGATCCCAGCTCTACTGTTACTGGTAAACTGCGTTCTTTCCCTACTCTGTATTGGTTGCAAAGAAAGAACACCAACTGGAAAAAAAGACAAGCAGTTTTCATTTCTGGCCAGAAATGGAGAAGGAGTAAACTTTCACTCCACAGACCCCCTTCTTCCAGATCTTTGGGAAGTGGGGGAATTGCAAGGCATTAGATGTGGAGTGGGGAGGCGTGCAAGCATATGCAGGGAGGAAGGCCAGATGCACAGGTGCATCATAAGCATCATCTTCATACAATGCACCATCAGAAAATGGCGGTGCTTCTCTTCTATGCGTGGGGAGTTGAGCATATATTAATCATCTAAAAGTAATAACAAGGGATAGCTGGTTCTGGTTTGCTCTGGTTCCTAGTAGGCCTTATCTTTCTCTGGTACTTGACAAAGGGCAGTGAAGCTCCTGGGCCAACTGCAGTTCTTTTAAGCTAGTTTACCTGTAAGGAGACTAGGAAAAAAACAACAAAAAAAAAAGATTTAAGAAACAATGAGCATTTTCAGCTGTACTGTTTAAGGAACTAATGAGCTCTCTGTTTTGCCCTCTGAGTGATTTCTCCAGGACTGCCCTAGTCACACTACTCTTCAACAGTTTTGTGCTTTGAGCAGTTAATTGACCTCCCTGGGCCTCAGTTTCCTCACCCATAAAGTGGGGGTAACAGTACCTATTCCATCAGGTGGTGGGGACGATTTAAATGGGTTACTACATGTGAAGTTCTTAAAACTGTCTGACTCAGAGGAAGCACTTTACACCTTAGGGGGAAAAACAGCAGCTGGATGGGAGTCCTTTCCCAATTTTGTTACTGTGTAAAACCCTGAGTTGTTGGTAACACTTGCTGGAGTGAGAGGGGCCTCAGTATGGGCTGATTTTCTAGCCAAAGTATGGGAAGTGGTTGACATCTTAGGTAGGCAAAAAATGTTAATGTAACATTTTTGACCCCCAAGTTCTTCAGACCACTTCCGTTTCTAGTTCACTGACATGCCCGCAAGCAATTCCACTCTGCCAAGTGGTGCTGGTGGTAAGTCCGGATCCAACAAAAGGAAATACTCCGATTTTAAGGGAAGGGTGACATGCAGAGCCACCCGAGTCACCGGGTCCCAGAGCCACGGAAGGCTCTCAGCTCAGCAGTCATAGTGCACTCGTCTTTGCATTCGAGGTTAGGTGGGCTAGCCTGGGAACCAACTCACCTTCATTTGAAATCGTTTCAGGGAAAATAACATCAACACTTAAAATCCCCCGTTCTGAACTTGTGATTCAGCTGTTTCCTGAAGGAAGAAGCAAAGCCGATAGTAACTCACTACATATTTGGGCAGTGGAATGAACCTTGGAAGCTGTCAAAGACCAAGCAAGTCACTGTGCCTCTTCCCATCCCAAATAAAGAAAAACAGAGAGACAATCCTTCAGTTATAAAGACCAGGGCATCGCCCCTCCGCTCCAGAGTGAGACCGCGCCAAGGTCTCCGGTAGGGGCCGCTGTAGCCGAGCAGGACGCTGAGCCACTCTGCCCCTCCGCCTCCTCCCCAGTTCCCTCGCCGCCGCCCCTGCCTCCCGCAGGTGCGTCTCTGCCCCTGCAGCCTCTCTGCCTCGGGCTCCGGGGTCCCCCGAGTCTGCAGCCAGCTCCCCAGGCGGAGGCGGTGCCAGTCCGAGCTGCGCATGCGCGGCCCAGCAGCTGCCCCGCTGTCCCGGGCGGGTGATTGGGCCGCGGTTGGAGGAAGGGATGTGGGGGATGGTGGGTGGGCGCGGATGGCCGGGAGGGGGACACCGCGGGGGGCGAGGGAGGCACCGCGGGGGGCGAGGCGCGGGAAACGGTCTTCCGGTGTGCTAGCTGCCCCAGGTGAGGCGTCGGCGGCAGCACGTGCAGGGCCCAAGGTCTTTCGAGCTCTGCGTGGGCGTCGTTGCGGCTGGAGATCAGGGAGCCGGCAGGAAACGGAGTTGGAAAGTAATCCCACCCGACCAGGTGGGCCTGAGAGGCCGCTGAGCCTGGGAGCCCCGCGAGGGCTCCAAAGAGAGCTTTTCGTTCTGGAAAGGTCGTCCTGGGCACTGCAGCAGCCAGGATGACAGAGGAAGGTGGCCGGGGTGGAGGCAGTGGGCGTGGAGAGGGGTCGGATTCCGGACGTAGTTTGAAGGTGGAGCCGTCAGGATCTGTTGAACAGCTTGGCAATGGGGCGTGCGAGAAGGGAAGGTTTAGGGCCTAGTTCCTGGGCCCGAATAGCAGCCGGGAGGTTGGTGCCTCTGTGCTTCGGGAGGAGAGGGCTTGAGCACCGCTCTGTAGCTCAGGCTTGCCACCGTGGAGTGGAAGCTGCCTATGGGATACAGGGGGCGGAGAGGTGGCATGCAGTCTGGCGCTCTGGAAAGCTGGGAGATCCAGACGTGCAGGGCTGGAAGGGGGAACGAGGAAAACCTGGAGAGGGTGGCTCCCGGAAGCCTGAGAAAGTGATGAACTGGGTCAGAGGCCGAGTTTGAACAAATAGGAGGCTGGAGACGACCTTGAGGAAAGTAGTGACGCAACGGCAAGGAATGGGGCCCCGTAGTGGAGACACCTGGGACTGGTTTATTGTGTGTATTTAGCTCATAGGCGTTCAAAAGTATTTATTGGGAGCCTGTACAACTTTTTGCAGTTCATTGCATTATTCTTAGCATGTATTTTTTTCCGTTGCCACTTTTTTAATTGACAAATGATTTGTATATTTATATGGTACAGTGTGATGTTCTGATACACATATATATTGTAGAAAGATTAAATCCAGCTAATTGACATATCCATCACCTCACTTACTTATTTTTTGTAGTGAAAATCTACTCTCCTGGAAAATATACATCATCAACCATGGTCACCATGCTGTGTAGTAGATTACTAAAACTCACTCCTCTTATCTAACTCAAACTTTGTATCCTTTGACCAACATGCCTCTCTTCCCCATCTGTTCTCCCCCAGGACCTTGATAACCATCATTCTACTCTGCTTCTATGAGTTCAACTTTTCTAGACTCCCAAGTGTATAAGTGAGATCATATGCTCTTTGTCCTTCTGTGCCTGGCTTATTTTACATGGCCTAATGGGCCTCCAGGTTCATCCATGTTGTTGCAAATGACAGAATTGCCTTTTCTTTTAAGACTGTAGAATTCCGTTGTATATATGTGCCACATTTTCTGTATCCAGTCCTCAGTTGATGGATACTTAGTTGCTTCCATATCTTGGTTATTGACTAATGCTGAAAACACAGGAGTGCTGATACCTCTACAACATAATGATTTCAGTTCCTTTGTATATATACCCAGAAGTAGGATTTCTGGATCATATGGTAATTCTATTTTTAGATTTTTGAGGAGCCTCCATACTGCTTTTGAAAATGATTGTACTAATTTACATTCCCACCAACAGTGCGCCAGGGCCCTTTTCTCTGCATTCTGAACAACACTTTCTCATCTTTTTTATAATAGCCATTCAAACAAGCCTGAGGTGATAGCTCAGTGTGATTTAATTTGAATTTCCCTGGTGATTAGAGATGTTGAGCATTTTTCATATATTTGTTGACCATTCATATGTCTTTTGGGAAATACCTGTTCAGGTCATTTGTCCATTTTTTAATTGGGTTATGTGTCTTTTTGTTTGTTTATTTTTTGTTTTTGCTATTGAGTTTTTGAGTTTCTTATATATATATATTTTATATATGAGCCCCTTATCAGATGTATGCTTTGCAAATATTTTCTCCCAGTTTACGGGTTGTCTTTTCACTCTGTTAATTATTTCTTTGCTATGCAGAGGCTTTTTAGCTTGATGCATTCCCATTTGTCTTTTTTTTTTATTGCATTTTAGGTTTTGGGGTACATGTGAAGACCATGTAAGATTGTTGGATAGGTACACACATGGCGATGTGGTTTGCTGCCTTCCTCCCCATCACCTATATCTGACATTTCTCCCCACGTTATCCCTCCCCAACTCCCCACCCTCACTGTCCCTCCCCATTTCCCCTTCACAGACCCCAGTGTGTGATGCTCCCCTCCCTGTGTCCATGTGTTCTCATTGTTCAGCACCTGCCTATGAGTGAAACCATGCGGTGTTTGATTTTCTGTTAGTTTGCTGAGAATGATGGTTTCCAGGTTCATCCATGTCCCTACAAAGGACACGAACTCATCATTTTATATGGCTGCATAGTATTCCATGGTGTATATGTGCCACATTTTCCCTGTCCAGTCTATCATCGATGGGCATTTGGGTTGGTTCCAAGTCTTTGCTATTGTAAACAGTGCCACAATGAACATTCGTGTGCATCAGTCCTTATAATAGAACGATTTATAATCCTTTGGATATATACCCAGTAATGGGATTGCTGGGTCAAATGGAATTTCTATTTCTAGGTCCTTGAGGAATCGCCACACTGTCTTCCACAATGATTGAACTAATTTACACTCCCACCAACAGTGTAAAAGCAATCCTATTTCTCCATATCCTCTCCAGCATCTGTCTCCAGATTTTTTAATGATTGCCATTCTAACTGGCATGAGATGGTATCTCAATGTAGTTTTGATTTGCATTTCTCTAATGACCAGTGATGATGAGCATTTTTTCATATGTTTGTTGGCCTCATATGTCTTCTTTTGAAAAGTGTCTGTTTATATTCTTTGCCCACTTTTGAATGGATTCGTTTGTTTGTTTTTTTTTCTTGTAAATCTGTTTTAGTTCTTTGTAAATTTTGGATATAAGTCCTTTTTCAGATAGGTGGATTGCAAAAATTTGTTCCCATTTTGTTGGTTGCTGGTTCACTCTAATGATTGTTTCTTTTGCTGTGCAGAAGCTCTTGAGTTTAATTAGATCCCATTTGTCTATTTTTGCTTTTGTTGCCAATGCTTTTGGCGTTTTGGTCATGAAGTCCTTGCCTACTCCTATGTCCTGAATGGTTTTGCCTAGATTTTCTTGTAGGGTTTTTATGGTGTTAGGTCTTTAATCCATCTGGAGTTAATTTTAGTGTAAGGTGTCAGGAAGGGGTCCAGTTTCTGCTTTCTACACATGGCTAGCTAGTTTTCCCAACACCATTTATTAAACAAGGAATCCTTTCCCCATTGCTTGTTTTTGTCAGGTTTGTCAAAGATCAAATGGTTGTAGCTATGTGTGGCATTGCCTCTGAGGCCTCTGTTCTGTTCCATTTGTCTACATCTATATCTCTGTTTTGGTACGGGTACCCTGCTGTTTTGGTTACAGTAGCCTTGTATAGTTTGAAGTCAGGTAGTGTGATGCCTCCAGCTTTGTTCTTTTTGCTTAGAATTGACTTGGCTATGCGGGCTCTCTTTTGGTTCCATATGAAGTTTAAGGTGGTTTTTTCCAGTTCTGTGAAGAAGGTCATTGGTAGCTTGATGGGGATAGCATTTAATCTGTAAATTACTCTGGGCAGTATGGCCATTTTCACGACATTGATTCTTCCTAACCACGAACATGGAATGTTTCTCCATCTGTTTGTGTCCTCTCATTTCGTTGAGCAGTGGCTTGTAGTTCTCTTGAAGAGGTCCTTTATGTTCCTTGTTAGTTGTATTCCTAGGTGTTTTATTCTCTTTGTAGCAATTGTGAATGGCAGTTTGTTCTTGATTTGGCTTTCTTTAAGTCTTATTGATATATAGGAATGCTTGTGATTTTTGCACATTGATTTTGTATTCTGAGACTGCTGAAGTTGCTTATCAGTTTCAGGAGATTTTGGGCTGAGACGATGGGTCTTCTAATATACAATCATGTCCTCTACAAATAGAGACAATTTGACTTCCTCCTTTTTTAATTGAATACCCTTTATTTTTCTTGGCTGATTGCTCTGGCCAAAACTTCCACTACTGTATTGAATAGAAGTGGTGACAGAGGGCATCCTTGTCTAGTGCCAGATTTCAAAGGGAATGCTTCCAGTTTTTGCCCATTCAGTGTGATATTGGCTGTTGGTTTGTCATAAATAGCTTTTATTATTTTGAGATACGTTCCATCAATACCTAGTTTATTGAGGGTTTTTAGCATAAAGGGCTGTTGAATTTTGTCAAAGGCCTTCTCTGCATTTATTGAGATAATCATGTGGGTTTTTGTCTTTGTTTATGTTGTGAATTACGTTTATAGACTTGCGTATGTTGAACCAGCCTTGCATCCCTGGGATGAAGCCTACTTGATCATGGTGGATAAGCTTTTTGATGTGCTGTTGCAGTCAGTTTGCCCGTATTTTATTGAAGATTTTTGCATCTATGTTCATCTTGGATATTGGCCTGAAGTTTTCTTTTCTTGTTGAGTCTCTGCTGGGTTTTGGTGTCAGGATGATGTTGGTCTCATAAAATGATTTGGGAAGGATTCCTTCTTTTTGGGTTGTTTGGAATAGTTTCAGAAGGAATGGTACCAGCTCCTCTTTGTATGTCTGGTAGAATTCGGCTGTGAACCCATCGGGACCTGGGCCTTTTTTTGGTAGGTAGGCTCTTAATTGCTGCCTCGACTTCAGACCTTGTTATTGGTCTATTCAGGGTTTCGACTTCTTCCTGGTTTAGGCTTGGGAGGATGCAAGTGTCCAGAAATTTCTCCATTTCTTCCAGGTTTACTAGTTTTTGTGCATAGAGTTGTTTGTAATAATCTCTGATGATGCTTTGTATTTCTGTGGAATCTGTGGTGATATAACCTTTATCGTTTTTTCTTACATCTATTGGTTATTCTCTCTTTTCTTTTTTATTAATCTGGCTAGTGGTCTGTCTATTTTGTCGATCTTTTTGAAAAACCAGCTCCTGGATTCATTTTCGGGAGGGTTTTTCATGTTTCTGTCTCCTTCAGTTCTGCTCTGATCTTAGTTATTTCTTGTTTTCTGCTAGTTTTTTAGTTTTTTGATCTTGCTCCTCTAGCTCTTTCAATTTTGACAATAGGGTGTCAATTTTAGATCTTTCCTTGCTTCTCATGTGGGCGTTTATTGCTGTAAATTTTCCTGTAGACACTGCTTTAAATGTGTCCCAG